TTAACATTTGTATCTTAAAATCAATATTTGTCATAAAAAAATTTTGTTTAATTTAATTTTAGTTATATAAAGATTAAATTTATTTTGGAAAATCAAAAAATTAGCCTACATTTACATTTCATCAGATACATACAACAAAAAACAAATCTCGAACAACAAATTTCCAAATACAAATTTCCAAATACAAATCAAATTTCCAAATACAAATTATGTCGACATGAGCGGAAATCAACATGGCATACAATAAGTCACCATACAATAATGGGAAATCGAGCAAACATATATACAATAAGCAAATTCGCTGTACAAAATGAAATGAAATGAAATGAAATGGAGTTTAACGTCCTACTGTTCTGCTCCTAACCTGGGCTAATGAAGACGGGCATACGCCATACAGTGTGCTATGAGGGAAATTTAAATTCGCTGTACGACCGCGACTGTAGTGAAACCATGTGCGTAGTATGGCTATTGGGCCGGGCGTTCAAAAAAGAAAATAAATTGAAAGCAGTCTATTTTCAGAAATTAGGTTATTGTCTCATAGCGACATTTTTTTCTCAAACGAAAGGGTGTTTTATCTCTTCTAAATCATGTTATCATGAATGTGCCAGGGAATAAGTAATATATTGAAAGAGGAATATAAAATACTTGCCGGTCAAGCATTACACGATAACTCGTATTTTAAAATTTAAATTGTATATCTCTATCTCTAGAGAGGGGGGGGGGGTATTTAAATTCAAAATACTGGTCTTAATACGAAATCCCAGTTATTCATCACCGGAAATCATTATTCTATCGCCTTTGCATATATGAGTATTGGTTATTTACTGGCACATTCATGATTACATGATTTAGAAGAGATAAAATCCTCTTTTGTTTGTCTAATGCGTCGCTATCAAAAAATAACCTAATTACTAAAAATAGGCTACTTTCAATTTAATTTATTTAATGCTAGGTCGGCTTAACCAATATATGTAGAAACTATGGGTTAGCCATAACACACACGTGGTTTCGCCAAAATCACAGTCATCGAACGAGTTTTTCTTATTGTATGCTTGCTCGATTCCCCATTGTTGTATAGTGACTTATTGCATGCCAGTTTGATTTCGTCGTCATAATGTTCCGGTTCAATGAATTTGGAGAAATGTTTTTGGACAAATGTTTTGCAAGATTTGTATTTGGAGATTTGTATTTGGGAATTTGTTGTTCGAGATTTGTTTTTCGTGATTGTCTCTGATGAAATGTAAATGTAGGCTAATTTTTTTGATTTTCTAACATAAATTTTATCTTTATATAACCAAAATTAAACTACACCAAACCACATTTTACAAATCCTGTATGGCAAATATTGATTTTAAGATACGAATGTTAATAAGAATTGATGACTATGAATTAAGAACTAAGGATTAAGAATATCGAATAAAGAGCTGTTTGGTCTTCCATAAAGATGTTGTTGTTTCTTGGATTTATTTTATGTCAGACTCCATGGCTTCGCTGTCATAATGTAATAAAGTTGACAAGGAAGTTTTATATTATTTTATCAAAGAAAAAATAAGAGAAGATATATTTATGAGCATCGCGTCAAGGACGGTCATAACAAGATTCTTGGTTCTTCCAGCCACACTTTATTACCAGTTTATATGGTGCATCCTCGGTATCCCCAGTGACATCTTTCCGTTTTACCCCATTATAGCCTATATGCCGGTGATAGTAGGTAGATTCTACGAAGTAATCAAAAAACAATTTACATACCAGTCCTTAGTGTCATTATTCACGTTTACCACACTGATTCAAAAGTAAGTCGATAAAAATAGTAGAAGTATCAAGGGCGGATAATTTGAATTCGTGAAAACCCCGTGAATACACCCAGTGTATAGTGGAGTAGAATGGAAAGGTACCACTGAGGGATACCGAAGATGGTACACGTGTTGATTATTTTATATAAGAATTTCTTTCTGTTTATGGTTTTGTATTTATGCTTAGTTCTGTAAAAAAATCGAAACACTTTTTTGTATTTTATCAAAGATTGACACATTGCAGTATTCAGAAAGAGCACGGAAATTGGAGTAAACTTAGACTTTGAGATTGGTTTTATTTTTATTTTCTTTTATTATTTCTATTTTCATTTGGTGAGTAGAGACACAATAGAGTTCATATTTCACGTATTTGTTTTAAATCCGACCCAGATTTCATCGAAAAAGTGGAAACCTAAATAACATATAAGGTGATGGAGAAACTGAAAAAACACGAAGCCCCATTTTAGACTCTGTGCAGAAATAATGTATTCAAATCTATTTAGGCTTCACTCTGATTAACACACAGATCATATTTCGGTTCGTTTTTTATAATTCAAAATTTCGTTTTACTTATCTTTACTACACTAGGATCTGAAAGAGTTATATAACCCGCCTTCTGGATGAAGTGAGGGATTAGCTAATACTGTGAGGTGCACGGAACTGTGAGTAATCCACTAGAAACATCAATGTTGATTGGTTAATCAAATGTCTAACGTCATAGGGTCAAAAGCCGCTCGTATGACCCCTGACGCAACCTTGCACTACAACTGGTCAGATCTTTATGTAGTAGAGGCCACCGAAAGTATAAAAAAACGAAGCGAAATATAATTCTGCATTTTATTCAGATTGTTTAGGTTTCTTTCTTTTTGAGTTTATAAAACTGTTAAACAGCCAGTTTGGCGTCTTTGAGATAAATAGAGAACTACAAGCTCGTACATTCGAGTCCGTTTTTTCTTTAATAAATTTTAGCTTATATTTTTGATGAATGTAGTTGCTTGGAGTATTTTTATTGTAATATTAGCTATCATTAATATGAGAGATGGATGTATGTAAGAGGAAGTGGTAAACAGCTGCTGTCTTGTATTTAAAAGATAATTTCTCTCGACATTTATACTTCGGTCTGTCCTAAAATAAAGGTTAAGTAGATGAACGGTCTTTTTTACAAGAATGCACAATTTATTTTTGCTCCATAAGTCTGATTATTTTATTTCGTTAATAATTAGAAAAGGGATGAACTGGGCCAATCACCCTATATTGGGCCAGATTCTATAACCAAACTAGAAATAAATTTGTCAGGGCGTATATAAACTAATAATAAGTGTCCTATCAATATATCTTGAGAGAGAGAGAGAGAGAGAGTATCCAGGTAATACAATGCCCTGGCAATTCTACCTAAGACAGAAAGAGCGAGAGGGTGTGTGTGTGTGCGTGTGTGTGATTTTGTAGCTTCGCCCAGTTGAGCTATATTTCATGACGGGTTGACACGGGTTGATCAAAAATTGATCTCCTAATGACAAGTTTGGAGAAAGGTTCTCCTCATACTGACTCGTTTTGGTGGCCTACTAACCAGTAAGTTCGCAGTTCGTTCGAGGTGTTGGTTGAGAAAGTTGTGTGGGATAAAGCACGAGATTGGGGTTATGCTGGGGAAAGAAAGACTGAAGAAAATAACCCGAGAAAAAAAGTCGAGGCCCGTAGGCCGAGGTTTTTCTGTCGAGGGATTTTTCTGAAGTCTTTCTTCCCCAGCGTAACCGAAGTCGAGTACTTTATCTTGCTTATAAACCGTCTATTTTTACATGTAGCCAAAATGAGAATATCCCAGCATTGCAATAAGAAAAACCTTAGATCATGTTTTCTTATGAAAAAAAACCCCCGTACCCTGAAAGAATAACCTGTTACAGGTTTAAAGAAAAACTTTCAGAAGAATAACCCGAAATTCCCCTGTTCCAAAGCCGCCCCCGACTTTCAGACCTCAAGTTATTCCAGGCATAGATTATACACCAAAGGTCAAAGAGATTTACCGTTACAGGTTTATAAGTATGGTTTCACCGTGTCAGTGGTTCAAGACGGGGGTCTTTCGGGGGACAGCATCTAGTCCTTCTGTTTATACGAGAAACCGATGTCCCGTTCACAGTTGGAATTCGATATAACAGTAGGCCGCAGCACCACTATCTAAGCAAAATTTCCACCATGACACACTGTATGACGTATGCCCGTCATTAGTTCAGCAGGTACAGAAACGTGGGACGTTAAACTCCATTTTAATTCAATGCAATATATATTTTTTTATAAACAATCAATAATGGAGGTTCATAAACAGTATAGCACTCTACATTCTGACCACATCATTGTCTAAGCCTTCAACACTTATAATCCACTTAACTTAAAATTTCCCCATATTTCAAGCCATTGAAATCTCAAGTAGTCAATCATTACTGCCACTTCGGGGATTTTCTTTCGACGTTTCTTCCTGACAATTTTAGAAGCATCGATTACTTTAAAAGTCGAATTGTTAAACTGACACTTTGCTTGCTAACAAATCGGATTGCCCTATGAAACATTTTCATTTCTTTATACGGTAGTGAAATGACAAACTGTGTTTTATAAAATACACGTGGTTCAATAGTATTGTCATATGTTTAATCACACAGTATTTATTGGGATGGAATAAAAGGGGAAAATGCCAACACCGTCGAGTATATTCTATACCGGATTATACCAATAATTGACTGTGCTATAGGGGAAATTTAGCCCGGACGCTACTGCCTTCTCTATTTTGAATTCCAACTGCCAAGGGTCATTTTACGTCTACGCCAACGGCATCTGAATGACTATACACCTGGCAAATGACAAGCGCCACGGTGATAAGAGAAACCACGTTGAAAAATCCCTGTGAACTTTATCGGCCAACACCGAGATCGAACCCCGTGTCCACTGGATAGTCAGTCGACGAACAACGCATTAAGCCACCGCGCCTTGAATCAAAGTGTCTGTATATATTTACACAAGCGTGTGTAATGTGGTGAATTATAGGAAAATATATGAGGAAATCACTGTAAGCGATTTGAAATACTGGTGCCTGTATACTCTTCCTGGTACAAGTAGAGTAGACTTACTCATTCTTGTTCTGATTGGATGAGTTCACACAACCGACAAATATGTGCTTTTGTATTGTAAACTACTTGTATATCAATATTATTTATTACTTACTATTTTTATCAGCACTTTCATACATCTGTCGTAGTTCATCATCTACAGGATTCAGACCAAAACATCGGATTAATTTTTTGAATCCACGGTAATCTACTTCGTCGTTGTTTGCATATATTTCAAATGTCTTTCTTAATTCTATAAATACGAAGATAACACCGTTTACAAGAAGGCGACGAAGAAGTAGCAATATTTTGTTAATGTGTCATTTCTACAATAAAACAATGCAATAGCCCTACTGCCCCCCCCCCCGATGACGTATGTATACTAAAATACGTTAGAATAATCTGTACAAAGAAATTCAATATCTTTTACATTTACAAGATAATTTAAAGAAAAAAACTTATTAAAAAGAAAAATGCATTGAGCATATATATATATCCTGTCGCTGCAGGGTACTATAAAAAAAATCGCTACTCTATCATACGTGACACTATACTGCAAAATAAATCATTTAGTTTGAGAAGAAAATGTTTGATGGCGGATCTTGAGATATTTTTTACCAATCACAACCTTGAAAACTTCCATGGTTTAATTCAATCGGAGATTTTCCGAAACCTCTTGCTACCGTACAAACCAAAATTTATAATTAAATTTTGAAAGCCAGATGGTGCCACATAACATTGGATAATATTAATCAAGGGATGCACACAAAATGTCGTCAATCGGGGCATTTCGAAACGAAATGTAGGACTATTTTACCTTGTCTCTAGGATGATGAAGTATATATTAAAATCGATACAAGATTCTAAACATTAAACGCCATTAAACAACCAGGTTTCCAGCATAGTGGCACTATATGGTGGTAATGGATTATGAGACCAGGACATTACATAATCAAGTGACAGGTTATTGAGTTCGGACAGCGATACGAGATGTAAGTGGACCTAATCAAATGCATTTCAGAAATGTTGATTGGTCATGATAATCGTATTGAGTGGGCGAATGCCTTATCGCCCGGAATTATCGCACTTACTAGATTGACACCTTCCGTGGCAATAAAATCAATTTATTCGGGTCTTCCCAATTATTAACTGCTCTGTTGTTTTTTATTTGTCATCCAAGTAATTAATTCTCCGATCATTATGCTGTTGGGACTTTGTAATGGTGTCAACTAACAAGGAAACCCCTAATATAACTTGAGTTGATGACTTTAATGACCGATGGACACTAAGAAAGGATGGGTAATGACGTACTTTCTACTTGTTCTTCAGAAAGATTCAAATCCGCTGGAGCGTCGTCGCCATTAGCTACAACTTCTTCTTGTTCCGCTTCGACTTCTGGTTCAACCTCTTCCTCTGCAGGTGGCTCTGTGGACTCCTCTTCTTCTTGTTTAACTTCCTCTGTTTCGCCTACAGAACATGAAATACAAGTAGCAGCAAATTTATTTAAAATATTATTTAATATCTATCAAGTAGTCATCAGCTTCTGAAAATCAGGTCTAACCTCTTCAAATATCTGGAAGTATTGACTTGTGTAAAGGCATTGTATGCTTATTATTTATTATACCATGTGTGGAGTAAGCATGGCTTACAAAATATTTTTTCTACGATTGCATAGAAGACATAACGATAGGCGACATCAAAATCACACTAGCAAGGGATTTAAACAGTAGCTTGAATATATACTACACATTGTACGAAGTTTTATTTAGATTCCTTACAACCTTACAAGTGCATGCGATTAAAATATTGCTTTACGTTGTAAATACGAAAGAGAGAGAGAAATTGGGTTTAACGTCCACTCGATACAAACTAGGTCACTTTGGGACTAACATATGGTTTAATTTATTTATTTCAATAATTCGCTTGCGCGTAGGGGTCTTGAGCAGTGGGAGGAAACCGGAGGACCCGGAGAAAACCCAAATTTCTAATTTAAATTTTTAGAGCGGTCGTAATAACAATACAGGTCATCACAGTATGATGTGATTTATTATTTTTATATATGCCACTGTTAATCGCGTGTACATCGGACTATAAATTGCCCACTCGCACATTATAATCCACAATATAATCTCTCTTTATATTACGAAACTGTGTTTGTCGTTCCAGCTTTCCGCCAAATAGCTGTAGGTCTTCTATAAACCGATTTAACAGTGAATTATCATTGATTGCTTTATATATATCGATGGCTGAGTATGCAAATGTTACATGTCCATCATTTTGACCTTTTTGAATTGCATAAACATGCGTCCTTCTACTGTGTATCAAGTCATTGCCATGAAAACATACAGCACATGTCCCCATTCAGCAAAACTTTATTATGCAAAAGTGATATTTGTGGACATGTAACTTTTGTCTACTGAAAGCTCATAACACTAAACAGGAACAGTGGACATATCTACGAAAGCCCAGAAGGCTCATTCCAAATTCCAAATTCCAAATGCGAAATTCCAAATTCATGTCTTACCGATAAAATAGCAAATTGGCAGCCCCCCTCAATTGAACAAATTAGAATTTATATAAATTGTAATTTTACACAACTAATTACTTCTAGTTTACCTATCCCGGCCGGATAAATACCCGTTCCAAGTTCCAGGTTCCAGATTCCAAATTCCAGATCCCAAATTCCAAATGCGAAATTCCAAATTCATGTCTTACCGATAAAATAGCAAATTGACAGCCCCCTCAATTAAACAATTTAGAATTTATATAAATTGTAATTTTACACAACTAATTACTTCTAGTTTACCTATCTGGGCCGGATAAATACCCGTTCCAAATTACTAGATTCCAAATTCCAAATGCGAAATTCCCAATTCCAAATGCGAAATTCCCAATTCCAAATGCGAAATTCCCAATTCCAAATTCCAAATCTGATCCGATTTTTGCTTTTGACTAATCAGTTAGAGTATAATAACAATATTCCAGTTCGGGTTTGCTTCGGCAGATGTGAACAGTTTGGGTTCCCCTGCTCTAACATCAAAAGTTATCTGCCGATCTGTATGAAATTTACATGCGTCATTTAAATTAGTAAAGAGAAGAATCCTATTGAATTTCAGCAATTTCTGTTTATTACTTCGAGAGTTATTGCCCTAGTTTCACTTTGTTCAACCCTGTTAATGCTCGATTGATGAAAGTTACATCCGATATGTATGAAATTTATATGCATCATTTAAATTTGTGAAACGAAAAAACCTGTCAAATTTTAACAATTTCTGTAGATTACTTCCAGAGTTGAGACCCTTGTTTCAATTTGTAGAACCTTGTGAACCCTCAAACGGCAAAAATTATGTTTCGTTGCCCGGCAACCTATCTTTAAAATGGGTCATCACATGACAGAGTACACAATAGCTCAATATTTCTTAAAATTGAACTCATTCCTGCGCATATTATATAACTAACATGGCATTATGTCCATCAAAATGTGGACCTGTTTTAAAAGTTCAATTGCATAAACGATATGTCCATATGGAACCGATTTGCCAGAAGTCAGGAACCAATTTCATTCAAATGATCATCTAGATTTGTGTAGTACCAGCCAATATATAAAATATATATAGTACATCATGTTCAGATAATTCCCTGATTTGAAATAGGAATTCAAAAGTTTAAAATGCGATTTTCTCGAAACAAGAAAAATGGACATGTAACATATGCATACTCAGCCATCGATATCTGAATCTCTTATCTTATATTGTAAAGGTTAATTCCCCTTAAGCTAAAATATTACTGTTTTGTAACGTTTATCAGATAACAAAGCTCCGATTCTACCTAAGTAACTGTGATTTTCTAAATGTCACAGAAATTAAATTTTAGAAAAAGAGGCAATTTGAAGCAATTTTTGTTAAAACCGTGCCCCCTGTTTAATTCTAACACATGTTTAATGTGATAACAGTGATTAAATGCAGTTTCGCCACCCAAGGGCGCCAGGCTTATCGACTTTGAATCATTGGTTTAACATATTAAAAATACATGTAGATAATGTGCGTCGTATTGTGTAATAATATTGCTAGAATTTTTGCTCTTGAAATTAATGGTGGCAGTATACTTCATTAATTAATATATTTGGCAAATTAATAGTTTCACACATATTCACATATATATTATATATAGTGTGTACTGAATCAACTTAGTCTGTAATTGACAGTTGACAAATAAAAAGAGTTATTTAGCCAAAACATGTGTCTATAAAATACAAACGAAATATCACGTGCATGGAAATTTTACCATTGCATCATTTGGCTTAATTTAACCACTCATGTCGTTAATTGCACAGATTCAGGGCCATGATCACACTTGATTGTGCATGATATGCATAAGTCTTATAAAAGAAATCATAGTAAACTTTTAAGTCAGACTTTCATTAGATTCCAGAGAGGTTCCATCTGAGTGCTTGTATACATGTATTCGGCTATGCTATATAAGGTTATATAGTTTTAAAATTCCGCAGATAGAAACAATCAATACCCATTGGCATAATTATTAAGATGTTGGTTTGAAGCAAATACTCAATTTAAATCAGACTTTGCACAATTTGTTTCTAGTCGTATTTGGACTATACAGATCCTTATATTTCACTCCTTAATCCTTAGTTTTAGCTCCGATGTTGAAGTTTCAAAAGCAGTGAAGCTCATATGAATAAAATAAAAGTCGGAAACTGGCAAATCTTACAAGCCACTAGTAAATATTTACCTACCATTAACTTCTGGTTCGGCTTCTGTTGTTTGCTCTTCTGTAGTTTCCGTTTGTGGTTCAGTAGCCGCTGCTTGGTCTTCAGTTGCTTCCATCGTCTCTTCAGTAACCTCAGTCACCTCTTGAGTAACTTCCGTCTGTTCTTCGGTTGTTTTGTTTTGCTCTTCGGTTACTTCCGTTGTTTCCGTCACCTCTGCCTGTTCATCGGTTACTTCTGTCTCGTTATTTTCACCTTCCGTCTGTTCGGTACTTTCTTCCGTTGGAACAGCATCTGGATTTTCATCGGTTTGTTGAACAGGTGCCTCTTCAGTTTGTTCCGTGGATTGTTCGCCATTTTCCGTAGATGCTTCTGCTGCTTGCTGTTCGGAATTTTCCATGGTCTGCTCCGTGGATTGTTCCCCATTGATTGTTTTGGATTCTGTTTCTGATGCGTCAGCCTAGTAGAAAGTAAATATTTTTATTTATTTATTTATCATTTGTTCTTACACTTAAACAAATATGAAAGTGAGGATGGGTGCATTTAGATCGTATCAAATTGTAAAACAACACCTATGTTTACTTGCCACTTCATTCATTCGTTCAAATTTTGTTTATATCACTCATGGCGTGGTTCCCCTTGTCAGTAATGTAGGACGGGGGCCAAAGAAGGACAGCTGTCTAGTCGTTCGGTGAGACGAAAAATCGTGTACAATTTGACGTGCACGTTAAAAATCCCATGACAGTTGGAATTCGATATGAGTAGGCCGTAGTGCCGCTGTCCGGGCAAAATTTCCCTAATAGCACACTGTATGGCGTATGCCCGTCTTTATTAGCCCAGTTCGGAGCAGAACAGTATAGGACGTTAAGCCCCATTTCATACCATTTATATATCTTTTTCTGAGCTTGTCGCTTTAATTTAAATAAACTGCAATTATGGCCTGTGTTTTGAAGTGATAATAAAGTAATTGAAAACAAAATCGAACGCCAGTGTATAATCTTAACTAATAGCCTAAGTGTTCATAAGATAGTATCAAGCATTTTCTAGTCCTTTCAATGAAATAGAGTACAATAGCCTGAAGTGTGTGTTTAGGCGTTTAATGGTGTTTATTGCGTTTACGTTATAATAAAACTCACATATAGTTCAAATAATTTGCTTTCTTCGAAGGGCGTTTTCCATTAAAATTAAAATATCTATTCGCGTTGATCCAATTTTTCTATTGTCATTGAATCTATTAGAGTGTTTTTAAACAGCTCAAACTGTTTATTATCAGTTTAAACTTTTGATTTGCTGGACCTACCAAGTACTATATTGTAAATTATGTAGGTCTACCATTAGAGTGTTTTTAAACAGCTCAAACTGTTTATTATCAGTTTAAACTTTTGATTTGCTGGACCTACCAAGTACTACATTGTAAATTATGTAGGTCTACCATTTCACACAAAAATGTCTAGTCGTTTGGATGGGATAAAAAAAAACTAAATCAAGTGTATTAGTTATCGTGCACCATTGACAGCTATAATTCAGTGAAGAGTTGTCGGAAGCGCCGCTTTAAGGGAGATACTCAAATATAGTCAGGGGCAAATAACTCGACAGAAATGAAAAATCTCTCCTATGTCCCTTTCTTGGATGGCCGAATGGTTAGCACGTGCGCGCTGTATCATAAGGCCTGTTGAGTCAACTGGCGTTGTTTGGAATCCCCGGTTGTAAGTGACAAGGAGTAGGGGCGCCTGCCCAACTCGTGGGTTTTCTCAGAGTCCTCCGGTTTCCTCCCACTGCTAAAGGCCCCTACGCGCAAGCGAATTAATGAAATAAAATTAAACCATATGTTAGTCCCGAAATGACCTCTCTCTCTCTCTCTCTCTCTCTCTCTCTCTCATTTTACCCAGTATCATCTTCTTTAACCCCCACCTTTCGCTGTCGGAAGTTAAAAGTTACGTCTTTTCAATTACATCCATGGTATAATTTCTTGTTGATCGGGCATGCTGGTTAATCTGATACGCCCCCCCCCCCCACACACACACATATGATTATATTTATTTAGATATAAATGCTCCATTTTTATAAACGCACGTGGATTAGACACCAAACGTTTGTGAGCCGCATTTTGTTGCATATTCTGTATATATTGCCTATTATTCACATACCTGTATCATTTACTTGATAAAGACGAGAGTATTCTCGTCGAAACGTCGCTTAGTATTAAACTCAGTAATTGTGTATCCATATAATTGTACCTTGTGTTTACATTCAATCACTAAATGCCAATCAAAGAAGGGTAAATATTACGTATTACTGTACGAACCCCTATCTATTCACAAATACAGCGTTCAAAAAAACTTAATTTATTTAATTAATTACTCCCAAAGTAACGTTATTGTGAATAAACCAGGCGTATTATTTGAGAGGATTGGCACCCCACTGAGCTTAACTTAATGCAATTCCCAAAGCAATAGTTTCTTTTTTAACAATTGATATGATTAATTATTATTTTGGCGGCAACTTTAACCATTGTCTCACAAAAATATTCGAATATTCGCATTCAATTAGTTCTTCAAGGCTATATGTACTGTTTTGGGGGATATATTATTTGTTATTTGATGTCAGTTAAAACGAATGGAATTTGATCAGGATTGTTGTCACAATAATTTGTGTACTATATCAACTAATATTCAAAAATAAATTGACAGATATACGGAAAATAATATTTATATAATTCAAATTTGCTAGAAATCTGAAAAGCACCAAAATGAATGCGAACATTGTTTAGTTAAACTGAATCAAATATTTGAATAATAAAATCAGCATTCGATGCGATCACTATATCTCGAACACATGGTAACGAAAATACTAAATGAAAAAGTCCAATTTCATTGCCTATCCATCCAGGGATAGCTCTGTTTTATTTAAAGTTCCAAAATCCTGCAATTGTAGGTAGAATTCTTGGTGAAGTTTTCAAAGTTCTGATAATTGGATTGGTTAAACGATGCAAGTAATCTGTATTGCAGACATCTCCCTATGAAGGTTACTGCCAACAAAAGATAAATTTGAAAACTAAACAAATGAAAATAACACGAAACGAAGTTTGAATCATTAAATCATTATGTAAAGTGGGAGGCCAACGATTTTGAACAAGGTTTCTATAAATTTTAAATATATATTTAGAAATAATCTCCCCTGTAACACACGCAAAAAGGAGTGATGTAATTGCATCAACATGTTCACTGCTCTCGACAGTAAGCAGATTTGGTGTAAGTTTAGCGCTCAATTTGGTTCACTCATCGTCGTTTGGTCGGAAATCGAACGACCGATACTTATATCGAATTCTGACAAGAGTTCTTTTACGTGTACGACGTGTATACGGGGCCAATGAATAAAAGAAAAGATATAAGAAAAACTTGAATGGAAGCACAATACAGTACTGGTTTTATTTCAACCAGATTGACAAACTGTTGATTTGTTTACGTTGTCAATGTAATTGAGACATAAACATTATTAAACATTTAAACTGACAACGCCCATTTTACATGATGTCGTTTGAACAGTTATTAAATATTGACAATTAAATGAATGTATAAAACATGTATTATAATCTGCCAACGCCCTATATACTACAGTATAAAGGTATGTATACAACTTGTATTATAATCTGCCAACGCCCTATATACTATAAAGGTATGTATACAACTTGTATTATAATCTGCCAACGCCCTATATACTATAAAGGTATTGGACATTTATTATGAATATACCATTTTTGGAGAGTTAAAGGAGGTGGTTCTTCTATGTTTACGGTAAATAAATACATACACAAATGAAAATACGTCCAGGTAAAAGAAACCCAAACACTTTTATTTCTCCATTCTCCGCGAGTTCGTTAGCTTAGTAGGAGCATTAAACTCTGCATTAAATACAAAATAAATAGCATCATTAACTATGGACCAGGAACCGGGGAAGACGTTTTCTTCAAGTAGTGACGTCATATCAAAAAAAAAAAAACCTTCAAGGAACATGCATGGTCAAGTTGCATGTTGATTATTCTTGAATTAGCGAAGCCTTGGCCCTTTTCCGGGTAGCGTCGCCCCTAAGAAGAAGAAAACAAACAAAATGAGTAGCGCTTGCGCCCCAGCTCCAAGCAAAAAAGAAACCCTGATTATCCGAAGAGATTTTAAAATTCTAAAGTACAAGTACACCGCGAACAAATAAACGTTCTCGTTTTATATATATATATCGATTATTATTTCAATAATTTTGCTATATTTCCTTCTGTAAACCTATTAATGACCGATGTTACCCCATGGAAATCAATAATAATAACATGTTGGCATTAAAATAAATGATTTGGAACGCAATGATGGAGAACGTCAAACATTGTGATGAATTAGGACATGAGGGGGTGGATGGTAATGGTTAGTGTGTGCGCACTGTATCATACATGAAAGGTCTGTCATTGAGTCGACTGGCGTGATTTCGATTTCCCGGTTGTACGTGACCTTGTGGGTTTTTTTCCGGGTCCTCCGGTTTCCTCCCACTGCTAAAGACCCCTACGCGCATGCGAATTATTAATAATAAACAATTTGTGTAGAGCTGAGTGCTCCAGCTAACAGCTGCTTCACGGTGCTCTTCTCAATTAAAATACATACACTGTAAAATAAATAGTTCTAAAACATTAAAAAGTCAACATGTTCATAGTTTAAAAGCACGTTTAAAAAGTTCTGTTTTAATATTTCTTTTAAAAACAGCAACATTAGTAGAGTTTTTTTTTACATGAATAGGCAATTCATTCCACACGTTAGCAGAGGTGTAAACAAAAGCCCGTTCACCAGTTTTAGTTTTTACTGTAGGAACATGTTATATGGGGTTAAAAGTTCATTAAGATGCCAATGAAGGTTTTGAAGTACTGGAGTATTTTTTTCAGATTGTTTAGTTATAGAGACGATACGTGCAGCTTTGTTCTGAATTTTCTGGAGTCTGTTTATATCTGATGCTGGTAATTGGTATAGAATTGCAGTAATCTAGTTTGGAGAGAACAAAAGCGTTAGTTAACATTTTAGCGGTATCTGACGTTGTAAATGATCGAAGTTTACAAATATTATTGTAAGGATGAAAATTTAAAGACTTGCAAATAGTAGAGATGTGACTTTTCATTTTAAGATCTTTATCAAAGTAAACTCCAAGATTTTTTAACTGATTGAGAGGATGTGATTGTTGAATCACCCATTTTAACGGATTGAGAAAGAGATTTTCTGCTGACCTCTGTCTTATCATCATTTAATTTAAGGAAATTAAGATTCATCCAATTTTTAATGTCATCTACACAAGCCTCAAGTTTACAAATGTCGGTGGAGTCACTCGATAGGTTTAAAGCAAGATATAGTTGTGTGTCGTCAGCATAAAGATGAAAGTTAATTCCATGTTTTCGGATGATATCGCCAAATGGTGTTGTAGCAATAATATTTT